GTCCTTTCCAATCTCTAACATTCTGTGATCCTGATGAACATGTTTACAACACAATACTATTTCTTTACCTAACCCTAGAGTCATGCGGATTAGAGATAAACTGTGCTCACTCAATTTACACACTTCCAAATGACAGAATGGGAGTTCACTCAAAAAAAAGGTTTTGGCATTCATTTTTAGAATTGACTACAGATATATTTTTATTTTAAAAAAAAAAGAAGAAAATAAAATGAAAGCTAGAAGCAGCATCACTGTAGGTTAATATAAAACTCACCAACAAACCAATTGAAGTTAAGCTAATATTTAGCTCTTGATTGTGCAGTCCAAAGCTTCCTGCAACTTCAACAACTATCTGTAGACAAGTACATGGCATTGTTGGAAGAAAGTCTGTCACAACCAACTGAAGACACTGGAATGCAGTCCGTATTAAGGACTCTCTTAAAAAACAAAGCAAAAACAAAACACACACACATACACTCATTTAAAATTTCTTCAAGAACACAAGAATATTTTGAATACAATACCTCAAGAAAGAGCATTATAAAAAAAAAGAAAAAAATCATTTAATGTTTTTGAGACGAACTTGCAACATTTTAAATGTTTCAATGGCAGAGTTTTTGGAGATACAACATTAAGTTGAAGCTTCAAATTCTGATGAAGTATTTTAGTCCATGCTAACTATCTAGTGAGGTGTCTCCAGCGGTCCTCAGCTAGTTTTATATAGTAAAGTCCACCTCTCTGTTCTAGAGTTTTAGGACTTGTTAGTTCAAATGTGTCAGATAAAGTGTTCCAAAAAAAGCCACAATGGACAAAACAAAGCTTAAACTTAAGCATGATAAGCTTCCAAAGAGTAAGCCGTTCTGAACAATTTCTTGTATTAGCAGTTACAAATTACTTGAAGTATGCCAAACAGGTGGACAAAATGTATTTTTATTTATTAGGAAAGATGCATGCTAATGTAATCTTACTTGCTTCAATACTATATTATGTTAAACAAAATCTTTTCAAGGCATCTGCTATTAAAGATTTTTAATAAATACTTTACCTTCAGAATTAAATTCTGAATACAAGGAAAACAAAAATGTAGTATGGAAAAGGTTTGTGAGAAGGAGCTCTCAGAAGCAGCAAGGTCATCTATAACAAAAACCTTGTTTAGTGAGAGACAAAATGCAGGAATCAAAAGGAGTGGTGGAACGTAGATAATAAAAAAATAGAGAAGCTGCATTTAAATTTCACTACAGGGGTTTTTCTTAATTCCAAAAGTTTGTAATACAGAAACTTAGTGCCGTTCAGAAAAAATTCAGAATATAGATGCGTCAGTTACATATCTCAGAATCCTAAATAAAACAACAATTTTTTCAATTAATTCAAAATGCAAATCAGAGGTGGGCCATTTCCACCGTATCGTAACAGCCAACACAATATGGAAGTCAGAGGAACACACAAGAAACTTCACATGGACAATAATGGTGTAAGTAATAATTCTCTAATATGATGCATACTGCAGAGAGACATCCATCCTACCACATAAGGTCAAAGGATTTATCATTGCTACACTCATGTAGGAAATGCTCACACAGTACTTTCCCCCATATTCGTTACAGGATTCTATAAAGTGAAATGTACCCAAAACTACTGCAGTTCCCTCTCCACTACAAAGTTCCAGAGGTACGTGACCTTCAAGGACTCCAAGAGAGAAGAGAAGGAGGCAGGAAATGAAACTATAGTTAACCCACTCAGTTCGAAGAGCTGAGTTAAGGGGAAAGTAACCTCTCTTTCTAATCTTCAAATGTGAGGCCACTAGAACAAATTCAAAACAGTTCATGTCCCAATTAGTGTCACACACTATTACGTGTTTAGAGGAAGGTTTCAAAGTCCTTCATGCAAGTGGCAACAGCAATACATCTCTTCAAAATGTGAAATTGTCCTTAATGTTACAGGCAGCCACCCAAAAAGTAAATATAAATGTAAAAAACTTAAGCTCAGCTCAAAAATTTAAGATAATATAGGGCTTTATCTATCCTTAAAACAAACAGGGGCATCCCATCGAAAAATTCTTCAAAGATAGACTTCTTTTTGTTTGGCAGGCTAGTACCATACAATCGAGAAGTGACTGAAGTATCACTGGCTCTCAAAATAGCATCTTCTGGATTTATAGCAGCCTGGCAAGAAGTTCTCCTGGAAGGTAAATGGATTTCTGCCCTGGAATCCAGGATGTTCACTGACCAGAGGGAAGATACTTGTGAAGAAAGTCTCATGGTCAATAAGTTTATATTTAAAAGGATGATGATACAAGGTTTGCTTAATATTTTTTCCTACTGTAGTTGATATGATGTGGGCAAACAGTGCTATGTAGTTGAAGAAAAGTAGATTACTCTATATGCTTTGTAGGAGGAGACTAAGATATAACTCAAGATCTTAGTAACATCTTGAGATATCTGCCAGTGAGGTATGGGTTTGAGATGTAAAAGGGATCTGAAGACTGTCTTGAGAAGGAATCTGTGTTGGTTCTCATCCATCAACAACAACAGTGAAAATCAAAAGGCATGTAGGAACCACAAAACACATTGCACCATGTGTGGAAACAGGAATTACCAAAGGAAGCATGGTTACCAAAAAGAGGATGCTCACAACCAAGAATGCCAACATCCTTGGGGATTTTGGTGGGTGCTACTGCCAAAGCAAGCAATACTGGTACAAGAGCAAAATCCTTCAAGCATGTGAAGGGGCTTTAGGAGGTCTTCACATGGCCAGAAGACAGAAGCTAAGGTAGGGCAAAAGGAGAGATAGGCCAAGATTAATCCTTCTGACACCAGAGTTATTTGATGACCTATCCTGGTGCTAGTCTTGACCTAGCACCAAAGGAGGAATAATATGGTCTAAGTGTGTGGGTACAGTTCTTGGTGCTTACAGTTCTAGGGTCAGATGTTCATTTCACAAAAACTCCTTGCAACTTCACCTCTCACTTTCCCTTGTAGTCTAGAGGACCAGTCCAGTAACATTCCCTCTCTGTTGGCAACAGAGTCAGCTGTGTTAGTCAGTCAATGGATTCGCCCACAGCAAGTAAATAATCTTCCATCCTTGTGCTACCAGTGGCCATTTAGGGAGGAAGGCTTCAACAAAAAGAGAGAATGTTCAGAAGATGACACACACACTAGAAACTATCCAAAGATTTAAGAAGAAAAAGAAACAACAGAGGAACTGTGAGCAACCGCTAAGTCACACAGAATTATCTGCAAGCATCAGAGATGTGTCCAGCAGATGGCTAAGATCAAATGAATTGGCACAAAGACTACTTCTCAGTGTATACTGCATGCTGACCACAGGAGAGGGTAGAGTAGAACCATACTCTAGTCTTCTTAAACATAAATTCAGTAAAATAAAAATGTGCTAGAAGAAAAATTTAAAACTGTATTTTTCTTGAGTAAAATTTTTCACAAAATTATGGCTATTATCAAAGTGGCTACTAAAGTAAGAAAATAAAAGCTGAATTCTCTCTACTGTTCTTATCTTACCTGATTTTAAAATTTTATTTCCATCACTTACCCCTGATCACTTCGGATTGCTCCCATGACTCCAAGCACCAATGGCCAACCAGGTCCTAAGCTGTCACCCTGACTTTGCAAAATCTGTAGCACACACTCCAACTGCTTGATCCTGATATCGGGATGACTAATGTTTGACAGTTCCTTTAGTGGAGTCAATAAAAGCAACTGCAGTCTCTAAAAGTAAACAATAAAGCATATTAAGGATGCTGAAATTTAACTGATATTTAATATTTTTATGTATAATAAGTGAAAACATACAGTACTAATTGAAGATCCATTAAATGAATTCAGTAACTCATACATTAAATGCCCAAATTCAGTGTCAGATTGACCTTGCCAAGAACAGTTTATAAAGGAACTCA